GAATAATAGATGAGCTGTGTATTCAATAGTTTTTTTTCAATTAATTGAACCAAAACCAAAGTTTTCGAGTATAATCTTTATTCTACCCATGAGTTAATCATTTCTAATGTTTATTCTTTTCACTTAATCCCTTTTAACTAAACCCTTTTTTCGAGGTATACTTACAAAAACTGAATTTTATAAAAGAAAAACAATTATTTGATAATTTTTTGTAAAGGATATTAGTTTCTACATATTAACAATTACTATTACCAATAATTTAAAAGTTTAAAGTTTGAGTGAGTAGTTCCTGATATTTATCTATCGCTTTTTTCTTTCTTTAAATGTTTTGGTGGCATCTTTTTTTGTATAATTCAATTCTTTCTTACAATCTTAAAATGTCTATTTTTTAGAGAGTTCCAAAAAGAAGTCTTGTTTTTTGAGCAAACCTTGAATTATATTTTACAACAATAGACATGACCTTGAAAAAAGAATTGTAACAGCTTCTAATAAACACAATTATGGTTATGGTTCTGGTTAACTTGTATTGTTGATAGAAACTGTCAACAACAATTGTCTTTATTGACGTTTTAATCTGCCAATATTCAAATTTATATTCTGCCAAATCAATCCAATTAAATTTTTTATTGTTGATCAAAATGGATGATCGATCAATCAGAATTGAGTAATCTTTGTTTTTAATAATAATTTGATGCATATAGTGATCATCTTTAAGAACTTCTTTGACAGTAGTCATAGTGGAGTTGCCGTGTAGAATGGAAATTAGATGGCCACTCTTTCCAGTAATATAATAGCAAATATCTACAAGTTCTTTTGATCTTGTATTGAAAACTCTTTGCCCAAACTGTGGGTCACCAACTCCATTTGAATTTAATATTTTTTAAAATGTATGATTAAAACACAATTAATTATACAAAGATAAGAAGTTTTAGTCTACCTTGGGGACATTCATTTGCACTATTCATGGTTGCGAGACTTTGTGACTATGCATTAGGACTATTTGGCTCATCTGAAAGATATCTTAAAAAATGAGAGTGATCAGTATTATGAAAAACTTTGCTATTCAACTCTGGTGCTGTCTAACCTCTACACAAAAGAATTATAATTTGTATATCAAATTATCAGGTGAATTGGGATATTGAATTTTTGTAACAGTTCCAACATTATCACCCTCATTCACTTCACCATTGACAACAGTTTATTCTAAGCCAGGTTTTAAGTTTTACTTGATATTTGTGTCATCAAAAACTTTTGTTGTTATAACCATTATTGGGTAGACTGATTTCATTAAAAATATTCCTGCTTGCCAAACAACTAACAATTAGTATTGATAATAAGAGATTATATATTTTTCTCTTTATTGGTCTAGGAACAGTCTATTACTGGAATTAAAAAATCAAAATTCTCAATCTCAAGATCCATTCTGTGAAAGAGCTAATTAAACAAAATTCTTAGATATTCCTTTCTGTTTCTACTTTTTTATTTATACAATCAATTTTTCTTACTTTAACTATCAATATTCATTTAAAATATAGGCTAAATTATTTATGTTGCTAAGAATCTTTAAAATGATATTAATGATATGTAAAGCAAGAGGGAAAGAAAGAGAAAATTCTTACTTACAGCAATTATCTTTCTTATCATAATAGTCAGACTGTAGCAATGTTTGAAAATTGTCCGGTTTGGAAAATCTCGATTCACTCTTCAATTTGCAAATTTTAAAAAAATTATTGTATTCTACTGCTCTAAATAAGAATATTATTATAAGATGAAAGCAATAATCTTATAAACATGTAAGGTGTAGTACTTGCAATAATTGTTTTCATCACAAGAGTTCAAACAATCTTCAACTGTTGAATTAGTTTTTTGATTGATATCATGACCAATCAATCTTTTTGATGCTATTTTTTTATAAAAACATTCTGAAAAGAAACAAAGTATTTATTATAAATATCTTATGTTTTTTGAAAGTAGGTCATACCGCAATTGTTATTCCTTGTATAAATATCTTTAAAATTATTAAGTTCAGTTGATTTGTTTTGTAGTACTGAATTCAATAATTGGCAATGATCATTAAATTTTGAAATTAGAATTGACCTTTTTAATTCGGAGAAGGGTAATTTTAATAATTTTATTTTAAAACAAAACTGTTTATTTACTTGCAATTTGTCACGTGATTACAAGCTCTAATACATTCTTGCAAATCAAATTTCATATATACAATGAAATATTTAGTAAATTCAGACGTGATTAAAGATTTATTAGCCAATAATTCATATTCACAACCTGAAAAAACAGGCTAATAAAAAACTGATATTGAAAAAAAAATATTTCTTTAGCTAAAAAAACCTTTTGCCTCAAAAACTTGAATTTGTTTCAGTATAAGTAGAATAATTAAAACTTTATTCATATTTAAAAAATTATTATCTTCACACCAAAAATATTGAAAACTAATTAAATTATCCTCTTTTTTATATCATATTTTGATTTTATTGTTGATTAATAATTTAAAAATAATAAATATATTCTGTATAATGTTTCATTAGGAGGATAAATAAGATGTTTTACAAAGTGCAATCCATTTGTTGAATCAATTAAATTTTCCCTCTGCCATTTACTTGATTAATTAGACAGAGTCTTTATTACATTTTTCAAAAGTAAGACTTGTAAGAGTTGGATGGATTTGAACGATAATAGGGGATTTTTAAGTTTTTTATACAGTTGATAGAAACAAACACTCCGAATCTATTTATAACACAAATTATTTCAAATAGTTCTTATTATTCTACAGTTTTTAGACGTATTTTTCCACGTTTCATGTGGAAATATCTGGCAAAATGATCAATATCAATTATAGAAATTTTTTTTATTTTCTTGCTTTGGGATAGTAAATCAATAACCGATAATCTGCAATCAACTATTTTATGTATGAATATAAGTGTTCTATTTGAAAGACTAACCAACTATACATTGCATATTTTTTATCTAGGGTTTTACTTTAACCTCATGCAAGGGGTCGGGTACTAGCATACTAGGATGTAAACTGATAAAAAAAGACTTCCGGTTTTTATATATAGGTTGCAAAAAAAAGTTAAATTTTAAAGAGAAACTAGATAACCAGTTTAGACTATTCACAGAAACCGAAAATTACTATGATAGAAAGGATAGTTTGTCAAAAATGGAAATTTCAGGATATCCTCAAGTATTCATGGAGAAGGGATTGAGAAATATAGCTCTAGCTGGCATGGAACATGGCATTCCAGTTTTACTTTGTAAATATTTTGGCATTTGGGTGGTCATTTGGATTATTCGCTGAGAGCCGAATTTCAATTATTCAAGGATAATAATGTACGTTTAATAAAAGGAGAAGAGATTGTTTGCAACGGAAGTGAAAATATAAATAACTGTCATGTTGTTCCAATTAGTAAATTTTATCTTAAATAGTTAATACATCCATAAGAAATGAGTTTTTTCTCATTATCTAAATTCTATTTTCATTTTTTTGCAGTAACAGTCCTTCAACACTTTCATTTGTGATGAAAACTGGTATAATCCGATGTGCAGATGAAAGGAACTTAAGTGTGTATTTTGTTTAATTTAAAAAAGAAATTACTAACAAAAACCCAAAATATGTGTTCATTTCGGGAACAACAGAAGTCGCCCAGGGCAGAAGTCGCCCAGGACAGAAGTCGCCCAGAAATTGATAGAAGTCGCCCAGAGCTGTGACAGAAGTCGCCCAGAACTGTGATAGAAGTCGCCCAGGACTATGACAGAAGTCGCCTAGAACTGTAGAAGACATAATGTGTTTGTTCTTTGTTTCTATTGATTTCTGACAATTGAAATATATAATAAGTATTAATAAATATAGAATGCATCATTTAATAATAACTAAATAGTGAATGAATTAAATAATAAAATACTGGCATTCTGTTGAAGGTTTCACATAAATATCATTTATTTGCTTAAACTTGTGCACAAACTTGAGGTTCTATTTGGATCAGTACAGCAGAAAATTCCCACAATCACAATACAAAGTACAGTATTGAGTTTTAAACTAAAAATCTTATGCATTTCATTTAATTTATTAAATTTGTTTCTACATTCAAAGCAGAATTTTGCCATGTTGATAAATTTCTTTCAAATACCTGTTATGTCAAAGATCATGAGAATTAAAAAAAAATTGTAAGATATATACATGATTTTAAAGAGACTAATATTTTTATCAAAACAATTGTTACTTTTGAAGGATTACAATGCAGAAAATCACTTAATTCGAATAGCTAACAATTCAATTTTCACAACAAATCAAGTGGTAAAACATTACTCTACAAAAAAAACTGGTAAAACAATTTCTTTCATTATCACTCAGAGATTACAAATAATAAATACAAACTACTTCATAAATTATTTTCATATATTTTGCATTTTATTAAGCATACTGTAAACTTCTAGTACACTTCTGGGCGACTTCTGTCATAGTCCTGGGTGACTTCTATCACACTTCTGGGCGACTTCTGTCACAGCTCTGGGCGACTTCTATCAATGTCTGGGCGACTTCTGTCCTGGGCGACTTCTGCCCTGGGCGACTTCTGTCGTATTCGTTAATTTCTATAACAATCAGGACAAATACCATTTTCTTTGCCTTGACAATACTTGCTTCTCAAAGGATGTTTATGGTGGAAATTTCTTTCAAATTTTCAATTACTTGGCCTGTATAATTGACATTGTAAAAAATCTATACTTTACATACTCCAAAAATATGGTTTTCAGCGAAACAATTAAAAAGGCGTAAATTTTTAAAATGATTTTAAAAAAATGTGTCAATATTTTTACATTCATTTGAGATAGGCGTCAAACAAACTGTAAAAAGAAACTAGACATCTGTTTGCAAATACAAAGATAATCGAAATTGAACAGAATCTCTTTTGAATATCTGACTCAATTCCTTACTGATCTTTCTATTGTGTTATCTTTAGTTTTATTTTAGTTGGATGAAAGGTTTTCAATACTAGGAGGCGGTAGTAAATATTCAATACTTATCATCTTGCCTACAACATTTTATCAAATATTTATTAATATTGATATTTTATTATATCAGCTTCACTAAAGACAAAATGGCTACTGGTGGATATTTTATTGACGAACAAAGTCTTAAATGTTCCTTGTGCTCGGATTCTTGGGTAGATAAAGACCATAGAGTACTTCCTTGTCAACATACATTCTGCCTGCAGTGTTTGCTGAAACTAAACTATAATATAAAATTAATTTCTAGAATAGGATTAACATGTCCTAATTGCAAAGTATTTCATGCAGTATCCAAGGAGAGTGTAGTAAAATTACCTAAAAATTATCTCTCCAAATCTCTTAATAGATTACCTTTGGATGGAAAATTTTGTGAAAAACATAAACAACTTTCTACATTGTTTTGTGCAAGTCACAATATTGAAAATCTATGCAATATATGCTTTGACGAAGATCATTCGCAATGTCAAATTTCAACTATGAAAAAACAATTGAAAAACAAGGAATTGATAATTTCTTATTTAAAAATTGAAGAGAATAATCAAAAAGAACTTTTAAGTGAAATTGAAGGAACTGAAAAAGGTTATTTGTTGAAAATTCAAAATGATTTCCAAATGATTAGACAAGTTTCTGAAAATTTAAGCAAGCAGAGAAAGGATTCTTTAATGAATCTTTTAAAAGATAACACCAAACAGCAGAATTTATTGGAATATTTAGAAAATTTTTCGAAAAACAAACTACAGCTAACCATACTTCAAAATCCCAAAGTTGACTATCAACTACAAGAAATAGATTATGCAAACCATACTAACAATGAACAATCGTTGACTTTGAAACCTTTCACAAATAACACTAAAGATACAGGTGATCCAAGCTATATTATTACATTTCTACGAAAGAGAACAAATATGGAGAAAATTGATTTATCATATAATATTTTGAAGAAAGGTGATTGGTCAATTGTTTGTCAACAACTTGAACAATCATCATACCCGCTGAAAGAAGTTAATTTTTCAAATTGTGATTTAACGGAGAAACTCTGTAAACCTATTGAAAAATTATTACACAAATGTTGCCATATTGAATTATTTGACATATCTAATAATAATAGACTAGGTAATGGAATTCAAAGAATCTGCAATGGACTGGAAAAAGCATCAGATACGCTAAGGGATTTGAATTTTTCTAACTGTGGTTTGAAATGGAAAAATTGGGAATTTTTTGAAATTCAAACCATAAAATTCGGTAATCTTGAAGTAATAAATTTAAAGAAAAATAAAAATATTGCAAACGGATTATTTAGTTTTTTGAATGGTTTTTCCAGCTCAGCGACAACTTTGAAGGAAATTAATCTATCCAATTGTAATATAGCTAAAACTGCCTGCCCCTCTTTGGAGACTTTTTTGGGGTCATGTTCTAATCTTGAAATAATTGACCTTTCATATAATACTGGGATGGGAAAAGGTTTGTCAGCTGTAATTAAATCTTTGGAAAAATCATCTAAAACTTTAAAGAAAATTTTAATTTCGAATTGTAATTTAACTGAAAAAAATTGGAAAAAAATTAAAACTATTTTGATGAAATTTGACAAACTAGAAACAATTGATTTGTCATTTAATGATAAAATTGAAAATGATTTGCACATTTGCAGCGGACTTTCGAATTCCGTATCGGTTATATACGAAATGTTCGATGTTTTGTGAGATGTTAATATCTCTTTAGTTTTAGAATAAATATCATATCAGTTGATCATGTGATTAATTTTTGAATGCGGTGAGATGTTTTGTTGATGAAATCTTCTTACTTATGATTAACAGCAACGCCCTCTACATACCATACTAGTAGAGAAAATTCCTTAATACAAATTTCACTAGATAATCATTAATTGAGTTTTAAGTTAAGACTATTCAATCATATTATGTTTCCACTGATAAGAATAATATGACTATGATAATCTACAATATGTATTTTTGAAGAATAGTTAAATTTTCAGACACAAGATGGCGCTAAAGACAATCTATTGTAAGATATAATAAGATGTTGTTTATATAATAGTAGTTACTACTGAGATGCGACAGAAAATGTCCAATAACCCAGCTCGTGTTTCTGCCTAACCTTTTTCCTTTCCCACAACCCTCAGATGAGAGCTTCCTAAGCACAAATTAGATAGCAACTCCGGAACTATCACAAGTGGGGACAAGACACGAAATTCCTAACAGTCGAATAAAGTAGACTTTTGTCTCATTGAGTATTTATGAATTGATAAGGATATCTTGATGATAAGATAAAACGCTTCTTCATCATAAATAGTTCGTGTTTGAATTATATAGTATATCATAACTATTTGAGTGGAGGAGAAAATATCCAACTTCCGGCCTATACTAAGGGGATTTTCACACGTTAGAAACATTTTTAAATACGATCAATTTTCAAACGGAGAAGTGAGATACACAACTTCAAATGGAAATTTATTTGTCAATTGATGAAGTTTGATGTTACGAGTTAAAAACTGATGATTTTTTTGAATAATGATTCAATTGTTTACGACGCTATGAAGAGTTTATTCAAATATGCAAAATTATTAATATTGACAGATTTATCGCCAACAATAAAGATTTTGAGAAAATACCAAACCAATTAGTTTACTTGATGCACTTCCGGCAGGACTATTGCTTATTCCCCATTTGGCTGTAAATTTTGGTGTTTTGGGAAGGTTTGAACAATCTAGCCTCAATTTGTTAGAATTCCTGTGCAATGGATAAAATCTTGTCAGTTTTTGGTTCAATACCAAACCTTAAGAGTCATTACGATGACGATTCAATCGATAGACTCTTCCATAAATATACAACAACGATGCTAGCCGCTTTTGCCATTGTTGTATCAACGTCCCAATTTGTTGGTGATCCAATACATTGCTGGGTTCCCGCTCATTTTTCCGACGGTTGGTTAGAATATACAAATAGCTATTGTTGGGTAAAAAATACGTATTATATTGACTTTGATAAAAGATTACCGGCGGAGAAGACAAACGAAATATCCTATTATCAGTGGATACCTATTATATTTTTACTCTCAGCTCTAATATTCTATTTACCAGTTATCGTTTGGAGGATGATGAATTCTAAATCCGGTATAGATATTCAATCTTTAGTTCAAGAGAATGATAATGAATTACAAGCTGAACAATTGAAAAGATATCTTGATGCTCAAGAAGAATTATTGATCAGGAAAAAGGCAATTTCCTGTAATAGAGTTTTTTCATTCTGCTGTTTGTGCAAAGAGAAGAGTAAAAGTTATCTAACTGTTCTCTATATCATTGTTAAGATATTGTACTTTATTGATGGTTTAGGGCAAATGTTCCTTATGAACCTTTTTCTGGGTTATAAATACAATCTATACGGATTTGAAATTATAAGACAATTGTGGAATGGTAACGAACCGAATTCTCCAAGATTTCCAAAAGTTACGCTGTGCGATTTAAAGATAAGAAGATTAGGGAACGTTCATCCTTATACTGTTCAATGTGTTCTTTCTATTAATTTATTCAATGAAAAAATGTTCATTTTTCTATGGTTTTGGATTGTTTTTTTATTAATTTTGCAGGCAATTTCAACAGCTAAATGGTTAATTAAATCATTAACTAACTCATATGATTATATTAATAAGCATATTAAACTGGAGGACGAAGATAAAATAAAGAAATTTCAACGATATTTAGGTAGAGATGGAGTTTTTATTTTCAGGATTATTGCTCTTAATACAAATCCTCTAACTGAACATCAACTCTTTAGAACAATCTGGCTATCTTGGCAAAAGAAGATATCGCAAGAAAAACCGAATCAAAGGTTTCTTTATTAATTTTTAAACAATGGTTTTTCAAAGGAGGATTAGGGATAATCCAACAGAAAGAGCGAGCTACAGGACAATCATAATCCAGATTATTTTGATACTATGGCTAATATCCTCAAAAATTGTAATTGCCTTTATTACTAATTTAGTTCCTAAATTTTTATCCTATACTACCAGATGGCGCTGTGAACGAATTTCTTGGTCTTTCATTATATAACTTTAAAAAACTATCTAAAAAGTCTTTACAATACATGTTTAACAGTTAAAAATAAACTGGTACACAATTCAACTTTTAAAATTTTATTAAGTAGAATTTTTATTAGAATTTATTTTTTAATAATACAGCCGGAAAACTGGCTCTATTTATCTCATCCTTAGGCCCATCACAACTGTTTTTACAACAGATAAGGATAGGATGCAAGCTTACCTCTAGGGGATTATGAAACAGGAATAATGAAAGAATTTGCCTGAAGAGATGCCTAGTTAGTTAGATTTAGAAAAATGTTTGGAATGTATTTCTGACTTTCTAAGGGTAAAAATCGTCAATTCATTAAACAGAATGTTTGAACAGTAAAATAAATGAATTTAGTTACTGAACAGTTTCTACTGTAAGAAAGAGTAAACAGAAAAACCAACTTTTGGTTTTTAAAGGTACGACTTAAATTAGCAAGTAGGCTAATTCTATATTCCTTTAGAATGACAACTAACATGTCTATATATCTATATATATAAAATAAAATTGAAAAGAGAATATTTGATATCCACCATTCAAAGAGTAAACGGATAGACGAAATGAAAAAATGACTATTTTAAAAAGATTTTTGAATCAGAAAATAAACAACTTAGTATTGAGTTATTGCGCAATGACCTTTATTATAATTAACATTTGTTTTATACAATTCTATTTGAAATCTTTCCCAAAATCAATTGGTTTTAAAGTTTACAATGGTTCGTCAGTTGTAAATTTAAAGAATATTCATAATTTTGAAAATATATCATCAAATGATTACATTTGTGTTGAAAGTGAAATTTCAAAGTAAGTGAAGAGAGAGAGAGGGAAAAATGTCTAATATTCAATTTTTGTATTCATTCATTCAAAATATGATTTCTTTCAGCAAAAAGATGGAAATTGTACTGATATTTATAAATTTTAGTTTAATTACATTATTTACCATATACGAAATCAATACTTATATAAAGAATAGCGGACTAGAGAGGAAAGAATTCAAAGTAATCAATGAATCATCAATTTGCTATGCAGTCAATTCATTCTGTTATTTTATTCTTGCTGCAGTATTGATATTTTACGGAAGAGGATTATATAATACCATAGATTTGCATAATATATGCAAATTCGAATGTCGTACAAACCTATCACCTTGGCTATATTCTTGTATTTCTACTTTCGAATTCATGTATTTTTGAGTATTAAATCCAATAGTTTAGGCCTATTCGTTTTTTTTTTCAATTTCTTGTATATTCTGATGTATGTATCAACAACAATGTACCTGTTGGAGCCGATATTAGACTATGTTAAATATGTAAATAATGCGACCAATGAAGAAATAAATTCATACCAAGTGTCAAACTTATTGGCTTCCGGTGGGAAACAGGAAGTTTGTATTGATAGATTTCGGTTTGTATTTTATTTTAATTTACTCTTTGAATTTTTGAAAACACAGACACTACGATAATATTTTCAATATGAATGTTATCTTTATCCACTGGGTCAAGAATGCACTTGGAGCTATTTGTTTGATTTACATGTCTCTCACACAATCATATCATCACGTGATATTTGCACTTGAATATATTCAAATTATGGCATTAATACCATTAAAATTTTTAATTGATATTTTATTCTATAATATTTACATTGACTTTTGCGAAAATACGAGGAAGATGATAAGAAACTGCAATTATTCTTATCTAATCTCGGCGACAATACCAGGTGTTGTTGTGATCTGTATCATCATTCAATGCGGTAGGTCTTCAAACAACAAATTACATTCTTTTCATAAACAACCAAAAATATAATAAAAATATTTTATCATAAGTTTTTGGATGCAAAATTAAGTGTAAAATCTGGAAGAAAACTGTCAAGAAATACAAAGAACCTAAATTCTATTCGATTGTTGAAATGTTGCATCAGAATACTCCGGATAAAAATGATCTACTACTAAAGGAATCGTCCAACTCTTATCTACCGAAAGAGAGATTTAACTCTCAGCCATAAGAGTCCGATTGTTGAAATAGCATTTGAAATATTAATGTCATGTGTGACACTTGACAAAAAAAACGACAAATTCAATAGGCCTAAGGAAATTGACTAGAGTTACCGGTGGCCCTTGTAGTTTTTTTGTAAAAATTAAATTTGTTTTTACCTTGACATTATTAAGCTGTTTTTGACACAAACTATTATAAACATACCATATCTATCTTCAACTGCCTTGTACCCTACATATTTTTTTCTTTTCTCTTACTAAATGCTTAAGCACAGTTTCAATCAGGTATGATTTCACCCAATTACTGCTTTGTGCCCATTCACACATTCATAATTGTATTGGAGAGTTTAATGACTATTCAAAGTTGCCTTTAAATATTCGTATGCTTTCTAAAGATAAGAATGCAACAAGCACTCAGATAGACAGCTATTACAGAAAAATATAACTGATTTGAATATGAAATTTTATACCACCAATTCGTAATCTATTTAAAGTATTTCCTAAGACTATGAACAAATTTTCAACTTTTTCTCTCTATATTTTCCCATTTGACTCAAACGGAACTGGTAAATAATCTTCATTGAAATTATCTGATTGAAAGAGAACAAAAATCAGGTATTCTTGATGTCCAAAACCGGTATATTGGTAATAATAATTATAAAATATTTTCCTTATAACCCACGGCAAAAATTTTATACGTTTATAGAAAAAACATATACTGGTAAACTATGTTTCACGAATGCAATTCCTTCAATATGGACTGATTGGCAATAGTCCATTTGACAACTGCAAAAGTTCCTATAAAAATAGGATTATTCTGATAATCCAATGGAACATAGGCTAAAACTCCAACGGGTGGAAGACTATTCTTTAAATCAATACATTTATGAAGATTTTCACCAAAAATTCTTAGCTTAAAGTTTAAACTAATTGTAGAAACAGATGGCCATTGACTATTGCTAAACAGTCTGTATTAAAGGAATTACATGGAGAAGAACCAATTTCATCATATCATATGAAGATATGGTTTCTGAATCAGTTTGAGCATTGAAAATATCTTTGTTAAGAGTACAAAGTTCCATTAAAATCGTATTTAGAGTATCTACATTGAGAAGATGATAGACAGTGTCTTGTACATTCTTTAACATTTATAGAAATAAAAATATCATAGAATGTTTGAAAATTTGAATTCTTTTTTATTCGTAAAAATCCAGTCATTGCTGTATTGTGATAGAAACACTTTTCATTTAGATAACAACAACTAACATTCAACTGCCGTTGTTGAATAAGAACCACATTTTTATTCAAGTTTAGACAGCATCTTTTTGGATTGACAGGTTCATCTATAAAATGAAACCAAAAATGGACACATTTTTGTTGATTTTCTCAACCTTTCTTTGATGTCCATGACTTGCTGCAAATTCCATTTTTAGGTCCATAATGATTAAAAATTTGAATTAATTGTTCCAGTACTTCCAAATCTGTTAAATTTTTTATATACATAAAATTTTACACCCAACCAGGGAAATTCCTTCTGTGTTGCCCAATTCGACGTCATTTTGAAACAAAAACATATTGTAGCAATTAGCATTTAAGGGTTTACCAACACAAACCTGTTGTTGTTTCATCACTGATATTTTACTTGGAAAACCCTGGACCCTACTTCTTGTCAAGAATCCTTATATAGGAATTAGGCATTTGTTGTTGACACCTAATGCATAAACAACTGATAGAGAATTATATAAAAAGCAGGGAGTAGGTAGTCCTGAATAAATCCTCTTTGTGAACAGGTCTAGTGTTATTTTAGAATACATTTATATTATTCTTAATGTACAACTTTCGTTTATATCGTTGATCATAAAGAATAGAAGACCAAATTAGATTGGTCCATGCAATTGCGTTTCTGTACTAATAAGGCTTTGTCAAAATCACCTAGAAATGGCCAATCGAATCTATTGCTCCTACTTGATAATAACCATAGGTCGCGTATTGAATATAATATTCAAAACATCTTATTTTGGCTTGAAGTGTTCAAGTATACTTGCTATAAGATTGTAGTATACTTGGTAAATTATATAATATATTGTAGACAGATTATAAATTTCCCCCTTTCCGTCAAGTTCTATATTTTCAATCAATCAATACATTTATTAAAAAATAAGGAATTTTTGAAAAGTTATCCGTACTGATTAATCATTACTAAGAATCTTTTGAACACCTTATTCTACCACCCAGCTCACTCCTCGTATAATATAGTATATTAGTAATATATTAACTATTTTCAATTGACCTTCAAAATCCAACTATAACATAAATAGGCCTACTATACAAATTATCTGTCCACCTCCAAGTCATATTGTCTGTAGACTGAAACCCAAATAAAAAGAGAAAGAGAGTAGGAAAGGCATATTTGCTAGTTTAAACATAGAACTAATTTTTGTCCACAGTGTATGTGTGTGTATGTATATATAAGCAGGGAATACTTTCCTTATTGCACCACTAGCTCTCGGAAAAGGAAAGAATGAATTTCTCCTGTCAGATTGCTCTTATTTCTCTTCTTATCTTCTTTGCTTATGCAAAAGCTGAGTAAGTTTTTTCTATTATGTATGTCATATTAATAATTTTAAAGCGTCATTTTAGAAATTGCTATCGTGAATCTTTAAATACAGTTTTGAAGGATGTAGATCTAAAATCAAAACCGGAGACTGATGGATTGAATATTAGTTTTGCATTATCTCTTGTAAATATTGCTTCGGAGAATAACGGCATATTTCATCTTGTTGCCTGGCCAAAAATGGTATTTTTTATTTAAATACATTTGACCTAATTACATTAAAAAATATTATTATTCCAAAAGGAATTGGACAGATCCTGGATTAACATGGAAATCTAATAAATTTCATGAATTTCACCTTCCACTCGATATTATTTGGACGCCTGATTTAGTTGCCTACAATGTGTAAGTAACCAGTCTAATTTTTTTTTCTAGCTTTGTACAACTGCTTGCATGTTCAAATATAGACTGGATCCTGAACAGTATGTAATCAAACCTTTGGCTTGTCTATACCCAAATGGTCAGGTTCTTGTAATACCTTCAAAGAAATATGCTGTAAGTGTAACATTCTATAAGAAATAATGAAATGCTAAAAAGAAAAAACACCATTAACAGGTCCGCTGTCCCAAAGATAAAAATGGTGAATATGTCTGTTCTATAAGCTTTGGATCTTGGACTTATAATAAAAATGAGATAAACGTTTTATTGGGCAGTGATAGTCTCGATCTGGAATATTACGAAACTAACGACTTTGAAGTTGTTAGTAGTAATGTTGTTCGTACAGAGAAAAAGTATTCTTGCTGTCCAGAGTTATACGCCATCATAACGTATACTATTAATCTTAAAAGAAGAACTTAAAAGCCATCTTTTCCTTTGTATTTAGGATTTTAGCCTATAGAATACAACAAACAGCTTTTAAAACTATAATAAAATTGACGTTTATTGCTAGCCAGTTCGTTTTTCACACAGGGTTACACTTTTATTTCATAAGACATTTTTGTAGAGATTTTGATCACGTGAACTAAATTTTTTCAATTAAACTTCTAACCACTCGACAAATACCTTTCGTTAATCTCTTCAATATGTTCCAGGGTAGTTACAATGGCCACCAGGTGTCACCACAGAATTTAAAAATATTAGTTTTGTGTTAAAAATCAATGCCGTTGCTAGCAGAATTGTTTACCTAAGGCGACAGGTGACGCCCATATCCTCTACTTTATACTATATGTTTAGAATGTTTGTCATACCATGACTTTGATTGAAAATAGAAATTTTTAGAATATTATTGAAATCGCCTCACAGTACTAGAAATTCATATATTGATAGAATAATTGATAAGTGAATGAGAGAGACAGAGGTAAAAAAGCAAATAAAAAAATGGTCTAATTCGCTTGGAACTATTATTGAAAGGTCTAGTTGTGGTCTTTTCTTTTCATTTTACTTTCCTCCATTACATTTTGTTGCTTTGCAAAAGCAAATTGTTGTTTTTGAGCTCTCTTTCATTATAGTCTTGTATGTAAGAGGAGAAGGACAGTCTACATAACCTTTAAATATTATAGTTTTATCTGAAAAATTGAATAGGAAGGATACTATCTTTTTTTAACTGTTTAGAAAGACTCTTACTGTTTGTTAGCATTGCTTGGTGATAGCAGTATAAACCTTGACAAATTGACAATGGAACTTTCCCCGTATTCCTTGTTTGATAAACTTGAACAATTGTAGCAGATTACTCCTTAACGATCTTTAAAGAAAGAGATATGATAAGATTAATAATTAATTATTTTAAAATTATTAAATAAACAATAAACCATTTGAACACCAAGCGTTCCCTGTGTTCTTACTTCCCAATCTTTCGGGTTTTATATCCTATCCCCAATTCTTACAAACACTTTATCAGTTGAGTATTATAAATATTTATTGTTCCATGCGGGATTAAAATTATTAAATACAGTTCCGTATCGGAAGGAGATATTTTAAATGTCAAATTATCTAAACTACTACCATCTGGAAGGGGAAAAAAGTAGTTGTTTAGGATGATGATGATTATTAAAATTGTGGATACCACAGCCCAAAGTCTAATCTACTCCTAACCTTTTAACACAGAAAAGGATGCTCTCTTGCTGATAGAGATACATATCCACTATCAGAAGAAAATGATATAAAATCAGATTGAGGTCCATTGTTTTGAAAAGTTGCAGAATAAGAAAATTTCATTGTTATTTTTTTTTTATGGCAACTTGAACTAATAAAAAGATCTTTCACTTTTCAATCACTTTTATACAAGATATTTTGACTCATTGTTTTTTGTTGGCAATAATCCAAAATAATAACATTTTATCATAGTCTGATTACATATGATGTTAATATCAAGTAAATATACTTTTTTATATTTTGAAGATAATGAATAATCTAAAATTTGAAAATTCAAATTTATGCAAAACAGAATCAGAATAATTTTTGAATTGTAGTGTATTGGTTTGGGAGGAGTGTAGAAGGGAAAGGGAAAGAACAGAGGCAATATAGTCTTTTTCTTTTAACTACTCTACTTAACCAACACAAGTTAAATTGTAAATTGGAAATGTTTGAATGATTCTTTATTCATTTTAAAATATTTATTGCTAAAGATTATATTCTCTTAAGAATTTTAAAATTTTTGACATCCATTTCTGTTAGTCATGTTATAGTGATATAAACGCATTGAAATTATCTCAGGTTGAGTAAAAATGAAATCTATACAAGACTACTTGCTCTTTTTTTCCTTCTTATTTCCCAGTAAGTTTTAACTTTCTTAAAATCTTATTCTACTATTTCTATCTCATTCTTGTTTTTTAGCTATTGAAGCTAATTCGAATGAATTACAAGTCATGGCTTGGGTTAAAGTTGCCAGCGAAGAGGGAATGGGAATTAATCTTGTTATTATTAAAGTTCTAGGCACTTTAACCTGCAAATTTGTGTATTTTACGTAGAGGCTATGTTGCAGCAAAAAAGCCCGTATTAAAAAAAAGACACTTGTCAAATAGGAGAAGGTTTTGTAAAAGACTCCTCTCTTGGAACAAAGATCAAATTAATTCAATTGTGTTTTTACATGAGAAGAGGATAGATTTATATCCAAAACACAGGCAGTTTGTCAGAAGGCATCCAGCTAAAAGATATAAGGCAAAATATGCAATAAAAACTTCTAAAGAGGCAAATGGTTCCCTAAATATATGGGGTTTTTATAAAAAGTGATGGCAGCAGAGGTATACATTTATATAAAAGTAATTTAAATTTAGAGAAATATCAAGAAATTCTTGATAAATCTTTTCTAGAGAATTACAATAGGGACCATGTATTCATGCAGGATGGTGCTCCATGCCATACATCTAGGAGTACCTTAAGGTATCTAAATGAAAAGAACATAAGGCACTTGCAAGACTGGCCAGCCCAGGGCCCTGACCTATTTCCCATTGAAAATAGCAAGAATTTGACAATATTCCAACTGAATATGTTGAAAAATTGTTTAATAGTTTTAGAAATAGGCTACAGCTGTGTCTTTTCAATAAGGGTGGTCACACCAAGTATTACAAAGGTTTAAAAGTATTATTACTATATTTTCATAAAATATTATAATAATTCATGTATATCAATTGTAAAACAGTGTCCTAAGGTAGATTTAACATAAAATATTTAATTAAATAGATGGTGACTCATTTTTAACTAACCCCTTTTTTCGAGGTATAATTACTAAAACTGAACTTTATAAAAGAAAAACAATTTTTGGATCATTTTTTGTAAAGGATATTAGTTTCTACATATTAATAATTATTATTACCAATTAAAAGTAGTTATTCAGTATATCTTAATATCTAAACTAAAAATTTTACAAGGTGGCTTGGGACTTTTTGCCTATACTGTATATAAATAGGACCTAACTACGTTTTTGTTTTAGAATAGAAAAACATTGTAGATGGCATTAGTGTAGAAAGATCTCTTGTAAGATATTTGGAAAATTCGTGCAACAAAAGTTAATTTATTGAGTTTTTGCCTATACTGTATATAAAATAAATAAAGTGTAGGATTCTTCTTGCAAACATTCCAAAAGTTTGAAATGCCCTCTCTTTCCTTAATTGTTGTTAAGAGACAGAGATTTCGAAAGTATGCTAACATGTGTATTGAATACACTACAACTATTTCAAAACAGATAAAGGAGTCAAGGATGTTCATTATGTCCACATCCACAAGATAGCTCTGATTGGACCCTCTCTGACTATTATCGTTTTGGAAGATTGACAGACAACATTAGAGGTGAGGATAATGAAAATTTGGACAAATTTAAAGTTTATTGAGTTTTCTTGCGAAAATGTCTTTTTCTATTTGTACAAATTGTAAAGAAATAAATCATTGTAAAATATTTAGTAACAAATAATATGTTGGGGTCTGGTCAGAACGCCCCATTCTTGATTTTGAACGCCCCACTCTCTTTAGAGAATTATAGAAAACAATGCTGAGAAAAATATTCTTAAATACCAGTTATTATAAATATTTTTACCAGTTTTTTTTTATCAGTTTATTCTCAGAAATTGTGTTGCTTAAATATAATTCATCTTAGTATAATTAATTTTTTTGCTGTTAATGTCTCACTGAAAAAAGGAGGATGAATTTAAAAACTTGTTGGAAATGTATGAAGAAGTTTCATTGGACTCAAAAGAAGTTTAGATGCAAATTATGTAGGCACTTTTACCATGCTAAATGTTCAAATAGTAAGATTTTATTCTTTAATATTTCTTTTCTATTTAACCATTTCCTCAGATGCAGATTATTGTATAGACTGTTTTAATATAAAAAACAAAAAGCTAATTGTTAAAATAAAAAAGCTGGAAAACAAAAAATCACCAACATGTTCAAAAGTATTTGGAAATGAAACTGTTTGTGAAAGTTCAAGTTCTGAACAGGTACAAAATATTTAACAAATATCTGTTAAAAAAACTATTTAATGTTTTACTATAGCTGAGGTTACCTTTTGACTTTGAATCTAATTTCCCTGATGTTTCAAGTACTCCAGGGAATAATGGAATGGAGAGTTGTGATAAAGATATTGATATTGATAATGATGGAATTTCAAGAGAAGATCAACATCAACCTGCTAAAATTGTTACAGAAAATAGTCCAGTTGTAAGAAGAATTGATATAAATAATGAATCTTCTTTTAATGATACAAGAGAGCTTTGTCTAAATGATAATTTAAAACATGATTTTGAAATATTTAAGAATGGGAGCAGAAAAGGAAAAGATATTCTTCTTCACAATAATTTTACTTATACTCTAAAAAGATCAAGTGAAACAGCCATTACCTGGAAATGTAGTCAAAGAACTAAAAAATCACCATGTCTTGCATCTGTAATTCAAAAAGATTTAAAGTTCATTTTGAAAAATTCTAATCACATTCACAAAAGAGAGAAAAATGGTATGAGAAAAATTATTGAAGCAAGGTTAAATTTAAAGGAAGCTGCAATTATTGATAAAGACAAATCTGGTAAAAGAATTGCAGAAGATATCAGTCTGAAGTTCAGAAAGGATATTTCTCATATTCCAAGCATTGATGTCATGAAAAGATCTGCTAATAGATACAGAGAAGGTGCCAGACCAAAGCACCCAGAAAACATTATGTTTGAATTAAATTTAAATGAAATTCCAGATAATTTTTTCTTAAAAGATATAAAAGGGAAGAAAAGCTGAAACATGATGTTTGCAACTGACCATCAAATTAAATTATTGAAACATTGTAAGATATGGTTTATTGATGCCACATTTAAAATTGTGAGAAAACCTTTTTACCAATTGTTTACAATTCATGGATTTATAAGAAAAGAAGGTGAATA